GACAGATCCTTATTTAATAGATATATCCTAATTCATCTGATAATTTTAGAAACCAGCTAGACGGATAGCGCCTAATTTTATACCATTGGAAGTCCGTGATATTTGTAGAAATTTTGTATTAAAGCATTCAAAATTTCAAATAAAGGTCATACCTAATTTGTTATCTCATAACGGGAATTAGAAAGATTCAAAAGAGGTTCTTTCAGAAGTTACTATAGGAATTTTAAATACTTTGAGCAATTCATGGGAAAACCTAGCTTTTGGTTTTGAGTTTGTGGGTTCGTTTAATGAGGGTACCTATGTAATAAATGTTATAGTACCAGCAATTCAGATCACATTGAAAAGTCTTCCATTTGGAAAGTCTTCGTTTATTAACACGTGAGTTTGAAATAGTAATATTATTGTATATAAAGTAGAAAATCAGTTATTAACTATATTTTTTAGTTCAGAACGTCAAAGTATCGCAAATGCTGATAAAAAGGGAAAAGGTCAATTGGGAAGACACCTTGATATAATATTCGTAATTAAATTTGGTGATAGAATTTTTGAACTCATGTACACTGAATGTTCACGTTTAATTTGCTCAGAGAAGAAAAAAAATGATGATAAAATAAAATTATGGCGAGAGGCCAACGATGGTATGTATTGGATACGCAAAGGACGCAAACCCAATATAGATGAATTTGTCATTATTAGTCTTCAAGTAGCTGGAGATATCTTGCACCTAAATGTTCTTATTAGAGATGAAGGGAATTTCCATCGATATTGTCGTTTACAGTCTGTAAAGATCCTAGTACAGTTAGAAGATAGTGATGTAGTAATCAAATTCATTGAAGCATTACTAATTATGTGAAATATAATAATTATTAATATATCTCAATTATATCATGCATCTATATCTAGATCAGAGAGACATATGGAAGATAGCTCAACCATAGACTCTGAATAGTTTATTTTTAGAATGTATCCCAAACATCATGTAATTTATTTTTTTCTCTTTATCAATAAAGCACCGATTATTATTTTACATTCATGTTTATTAGTGAGGTCAAGAACAATAAAATTAAGGCCGAAAATATTGAGCTTAAGGTCAGAGTTGTGAAATTGGAAGACAAACAATCGTAAAATGAATTAATAAAAAATCTATTATCTATATCATAAAAGACATGATCATGTATTAATTTGGTGAAATTTCAGCTGAGCATTCCTGCCAAAATGATCTTTTCTTGTTGATTAATGATCGGGTGTCATGTATATATTTGATCAGAGCTTTCTAGCTGATCTTTCATGACATTGACACGTAAATTTCTCAGAATTCTTTGAATTCCCTAAATGTGTAGAATTCTTAAATTCTTAAAATTTTTTCTTATAAAATTTCTGAATCTATAAAATTCTCAAAATTTTTTTATCATCCATAAGATATGACTGGTATACTAACACTATCTTTTCACATATATTACTCAAAGCAACTTAACTAGCTTCCTCGTTTCATCAAAATAGATACATGGCAACGTCTTACATCACAAAAATATCTATTATCGCTAGAATAGGCAAATAGTATTCATCCTGAAGTAGAAGATTTGTTAAATAAGGCGGTTGAAAATTATATTAAGCAAAAAGAGCGTCAGAAGATGAAGTCTATTATCAGTGACTGTGAAAATTTGTTAAGAAAAGAAAATGAGGAGTTGTATATATCAAAGCAGGTATTGGAAAAAAAGATTGAAGAGCTTCTCGACTTACAAGAGCAATATAAGTCTCGTGAGGTAGCTATCCCTTAGATTGTAGAGCAGGCAAATTTACCTGCAAACATAAAAAAAAAGTATTAATTTTTTAATAAAAAATAAAATATTAATGTTAATAATATAATTAT